ACACAAAAAAAAAAAAAAAAAAAAAAAAAAAAATAGTAGCTCTTTAAATCAATTTTTTATAAATGCATACTGATACTATTACTCGTAAAAATCAATCGATATCAATGAAAAGCTTATTTTTAAATATTATATACGAATGATGCACTTCGATTATGTTCCGCTGGTTTTTTCTAGGTATACCCAAATCGAAATCTTTCGTCAGAACTTGAAGTTAAGATAATCAGCTGAATTAATCAACACCATTTTTTCAAATTAGAAAAATACTATTTTTAATAGAGTTTTTGTTTTATCAAACTTTGAAATGACGATTTTTGTTTGAATAACAAATCATATCTGAATACGTAAAAATTATTATCTTATTTTAATATTCGACGAGTCAACGTGGCGTTTATCAATTTTCGTGGAAATCGTGCAAAAAAATTACTTTATGTATTGAATCCATTCCTCCGAAAAAACAGGCAACTTTGATCGGTTTCGTCCCTCAATTTTGCTCTTTTCCGCAACTTTTTGCTTGACTATGTCCGGATAGTCACCCTTGCCAGAAAATATTGGATGGGAAAATCTACCACAATTGAATTGAAAAGCTCGTTCTCGCGCATCCATATCTTTCTCGCTTTTGACAAAGTAATACTGACACGGTATGGCTATTCCCACTTTGCCCCCTTGCTCGGCTCGAAATTCATCGTTGTATATGTGATAAGCACGTGCGTGAGCTTTTAAAATGTTGTGACCACAGATATATTCTGCAGTCGCGCCAAGTCTGTAACCTTTTGAAAAATTAAAAGGGTAAATTTTTGGTTGATATTTCATTAAAAAAAAATGCCTTTAATACCTGGAGCTTGGCTACCCGTTTTGTAGCCATCCCTGCAGATAGCGTGGGGCTCGTTGATCGTGGTAAAAAATTTTACTTTGCTTCCAAATTGCCGAAATACGACTCTGGCATAATCACCGAAAAGATCGACCATCAACTCGTTCATCCAGCCACCCAATTTTTGTAAAGCCTCCGGATGATCCCAATGATAGATCGTTACAAACGGGGATAGTTGATTTTTTTCGAGCTCATCCAATAAATCGTGGTAGTACTTGAGACCGTCTTTGCTGACAATGTGAGAATAGCCAGTTGGTAAGATTCTTGGCCAACTGAGAGAGAATCGATAGTGGTGGAGCTTTGTATGAAATTTTACAAATTGTGACTGACGAATTCATCTTTTTTCAAGC